TGGTGTCAATGATGGGGTGATGATGATGGTGATGTTAGCCATGATGATGATGATAGTAAGATGGTGATGGCGATTGTGATGATGATTAGTTGGTGATGGTGGTGATTGATGATAGAGTTTTTTTTTCTTTAATGTGGTTAGTTTGTGACTCTTGGTGGCAATTTCTAAAAAACAAATTCAAGCATCACAGAGAGGGAGGGTTGACCTAGGAGACTATCAATAGGTCTTTCAGATTTGAAGTCTGGTAATGGAATGTGCCCATTGGCATCAGGCAAGGCTCACTCTTTATTGACGCATCACATGATCAGTTATCTCTCTTCTGGAAGTCCTCTAGTGCACTAAGAACAAAAGAACCCTCACAGGGCTCAGGGGCTGATCCAGGGAGCCCTGGGTGTCTTGACTGGGCCTGTGTCTGCCTTACTTTGGTCAGTTCTGGACACCGGAGAGGTGGCTGAGGTTGGAGAAAGAAACATTAAGACTCTTGGTTCTGTTGACATTTCCCACTATTGTGAATGACCTTCTTAGGTGGTAGCTCAGGTTATGTCCCAAGATCCTTGGAGTCATGAGGACCATGGTTTCCTCTCCCCTGCTTCAAGAGAGAATTTTTTTTTAATTATGTTAAAAATCCCCTTGGAATCTTCTTTTATCTTTGGCCCTGGAAAGAAATTTGACTGTTTAATTAGAATCGGAAATTTTCTTAAATGAATTAAAATTGTGTCTCTTTCATGTGAAAAAAATTGTACATTTAAGAATCCTAGGGCATCTACAGTTGCTGCAAGCACAATTATGTCAACAGACCAGACTCCCTTTTTGGTGATCATCCACGCAACACACCTTCAATATAACACTGTCACGTGGGCACAATGCAGCTGCGGGAGTGACCAACCCCAGCCACTGCCAGAAGAATAGAGAAGAGGGGACCCAAAGCACCTCATACCAGCTGCACAGGTTCTTACCGGAGGGTTTTCCTGGCACCTATCCCCGCTACCTCCTTCACACTGCTCCCCACCTCTCTACCGTCAGCAGAAGGATTGTGGGAAAGCTGCCTTAGTGGGACATATGGGCATGGCAGCACAAAGAATGGAGAGGAAGGCTACACGCAGCCTGTGTGCTGACCACAGCCAGCTTGCTTGAATGAAGACCAGAGAGAGACCCTGAGGTCAAAGCTCGAGCTGGGAGCTTCATCCAGTACACCCTGCAGGGCGAGGGGCCCACAGAGAGTCTTGGAGAGCTGCATCCGCTTAAAATTTTAAAATAACGTTTTAGTGGCAGGTGCTCCTTATAGGAAAACTTGGAAAGCACGAAGAATTAAGGGGGAAATGGTAATCCCTACCAGCAGTAACAGTTGCTGGTAGTTTTGTCTAAGTCTTCCTGAGTTTTATTAGCCCTGCCTTGGAATGCACCCTGTATCTGATTTCATAAGCTGTTTTTCTCTAGCTCTTAATTTACAAGTCCTTCCCTAACATAAATTATCTTTGAAAGTTCCATTTTAAATAACATTCATCACTGGAGCATCCCGTGGCAGCATGGTGTTCCTGCAGGGCCATTTTCCACCCATAATTGATTTAGCAAATCCACCGTCTGTCGTCGGGCATGAAAGTGGTCCCAGCCTTGGCTGCTATGGTGACCCCATGCCAGCTAGTGTTGGATGCATAGGTTTGTTTTCACCTTTGGTTTCATTTTTATAACTTTTTGAGCTCATCAGGCTAATGGCTGCAGACCTCTGCAAAACGAAACTGCCCTCGTAGAAAGCCAGCCTGGGCTCCTATAGGCTTACAAGAGCATCCACAATGGGTGCCTGAGGCTCCTCCTGGCATCTTTTGGGCTTCTTCTGCCACAGCCTTCTCTATCTTGGTTTTCTGGAGGAACAGAGTAGAAAAGGATTCTAGGGACTGAGAATTAGCACAGTTGGCAGGGTTGCAAGCGTAGAGTTGCAACTCAGATTCTCATTAAAGAGTCAAATTTCTTTCCAGGCCCCAAAGATAGAAGAAGGTTCAGCAGGATTCTTTTAATTTTAACATAATTAAAAGAATAATCTCTCTTGAACAGAGTTGGACCTTGCAAGCATAGGGTCCTAGGTCCGATCCCCAGCACCACAAGAAGGAAAAAATAAAATAAGAAGATGATTCTGTTATACACTTTGTATCTGGAAGTGTAAAAAGTTGGCACGATTGCTCAAGGTAAGTTTAGTTTGTAGGGAATCTGTCCTCTAGTGCGAGCTTGGGTTGCTCAGCTGCATGGAGTCTCGGCGTGTTTGTTTGGATGTTTGATCCCAGCCTCCAGCTGGTGAGACAACATCAGCTTCTCTCAGAGGGGCAGGGACCTCTCAGAGCTCTGGCACAGCATAAAAACTCAGATTACAACAAAAAGAGCTGCCCAGCTGCAGCCAGTAGCATTTCCTGTCACCCAGTCTCCGGTCACCCAGACCCAACTTCGCCAGCTTGCTCAGGGTATCACACAAACCTACAGTCAAGATCAGGTCTTCCTCAGGGTCACAGTCAACTCCAGGTTTGGCTGCAAGGGAGCACTCACTCCCCACTTGGCTTCTGTGTGTGTGCTGGGGACTGCATTCCTGCAGGCGTCTCTCCAAAGGACTACTGTAGACCAGGCAGCTGGCTTTCCCAGAGAGAGAGGAAGAGATGCGCCGAGCAGGGCAACTGAACACATGTTATAACCTAATCTCGAAGCATCAGCCCATGTGCATGCATGTCAGCATACATGATGGAGATCAGAGGGCAAGTCTGTGGAGTCAGTTCTCTCCTCCCTCGATCAGTTCTGGAGACTGAGCACACGTTGCTAGATTTGTCTCTCTGCCTGCCAAGCCACCTCACCAGCCCCTTCAGGTTGCCTTTGTCAGATTTTTTGTTGTTGTTGTTGTTACAGAAATGAGAAAAATACCTGATGCTCTCCACAGTCACACGGTATTGTTAATGTTCTGACACCCACCTGCTCTTAGTTTCCCTTTGGGCATACACAGTCTCACCTATGGGCAGCCATTGATCTACTGTCTTCCAGGGTTCCATAGACATGAGCTCATGAGAATCTGGTTTCTTTCACTCAACATGGTGTTTTCAGATTTACGTCTGTTTACATATGTACATATCTTTTGCTCTTTTTTCCTGTGTGTGTGTGTGTGTGTGTGAATGTGTGTGTTTACTTCTTCTGCAAACACTCCTCTACCATATTTCTTGACAAGGTTGCTCACTGACGCAGAACTCACTGTTTGGCTACACTGACCAGCCAATGCGCTCCAGGATTCTCCTGTCTCTGCCCTCCCCTATCAACCCTGGCTTCTGCATGAGTGCTGGGGTCTGCATTCCACCATCTCCCAGCTCCCAGGCATCCATATTCTTGACAGATCTTGGCTTCTCATTTTTCTTTCTAGCGTCTGTCAGAACTTCATGGCATGGGTTACGACAGCATAGAAATTTCTCCCTCTCTCTTTCTAAGGTCTGAAAATTTTGTATAATGTTAATATCACTTTATAAACACTCAAGAGAATCCAACAGGGAAGCCGTTCAAACCTGTAGCTCTCCTCATGGGAAAATTTTAACTCGCGGTTTCAATTTTCTTTAGCTCCTCGACGCTCTGCCATTAGTTTTCATAATTTGTGTTCTTCAAAGAAAGCTGTTCACGCCACTGAAGCAGTTGAGTTCATTTCCATGGCAGCGTTTATACGATTCTCTTCTGGTTATTATTACCTAAACTACTAATGTTATCTTACGCTGGGTATCGTGGCTCACGCCTGTAATCTCAGATCTTGAGATACTGAGACAGGAGGATCACCATGAGTTCCAGGCCAGACTGAGCAGCAGAGTGTCTCAGAAAAATGAAACAAATAATGACACCAAACAACTGCAAACTCTAGGCTCCCTGAGCATTGTCTGTGCTAGCTCTCCTGACATGGGAATTTTTTGTTTTCCCCTTTTAAAATCTCATTTATTTATTTATTTATTTATTTATTTATTTATTTATTTAGCTTGCTGTGAAGGGCCTGTCAGTTCTGTGGGGGAGGGTGGCTGTTACTGTTTCTGGAGAAGCAGCTCTGGTTTATTGGTATTCCCCGATGTTTGTCTGCTGCTGATAATATTGCTTTCTATTCTTTCTCTAGCTTAAGATATGTAGATCATTGATTTTTAAACTTTTTCAAAGTTCTGATTGTAAGCATTTTGGCCTCAGTGTGTCACCCTCAGGACTCTTAAATTTTGCATCTCATAAATTTTGACTTGCTTTTTTTTTTACTATCATTCAGCTCAAACAGTCCTCTTTTCTCGCCTGTAATTTCTACACAAATCTCCTGTGTTGTTTAATTTCCAGACGTGTATGAGGTGTCTGGTGGCATTTTGTGATTGATTTCTAATTTCATTCCAATGAAATCAAGAAAAGTGCTCTGTATGATTCCCAGGGTTTTAAATGTCTTCGCAAGTTTTATAACTCAGCATGTTGGTCTGTGCCGGCAAATATTGTGCGTGCATGGGAGAAGATGGTCGGCTGTCATAGGGTCTTCACAGCAGTTAGGAGCAGAGTGTGGTCTGGTGGGACAGAGCTGAGACCCCTGGACAGCAGCCTTCCTCAGGCTATCACTGCTTCTCACGACGAACATTTCTTCAAAGCCAAGCAACACATTCAAGTTCTTTGCTAGTCTGGGGGATTTGCAGAAATGCTCCTATTGACAAAGAGCCAGCAGCTGGGGACACTAGGCACATGTTCATAATGAGAACATGAGGTGTGTGGGGGGAGGGAGGAGTTTGAAGGTTCAAGAGGTTAAAAAAAAACCTGTAAAGGAGAATCAAGATCTCCAGGGGAGAGGCAGGCCCCTGGCCCAGGCCACAGGTTCCCAGGTAGGCAGCCGAGCCAGACGCACGAGTGACAGGCAGCTCCAGACCTGGATCAAGCTTGGGTCCTGCTCCATAGTCTCCTCTCCTGGCAGGGACATCGGGAGAACACTGTCTATCAAAGATGTGTCATGCATGGCTTTAGCCCAGGAACAAAAATGTATCACCCCTGCTTTATAAGTGAGAAACTGAGGCACTGACCGCACATTACACAAGTTTTGGGGTGTCCCTGACCTCAGCACTGCCACCAGATGGGAGTGGTCTGTACTGCCCTGGCTCTCTAGGTAAGTGCTCTTGTATCTATGATATATACCTGATTGCGGTGGAGATTCATGGGGGGCTTAGGTGGAAAGCTGCTTTATGATCTGGTGCACAGTAGGGCCTTGATCAATGGATGCTATGGGCATTATAGGAGATGTCATTTCCCCATAGTCTCAGAAGCAAGATAGGGACCCACCCCTAACCATGAATCTAGTTGCATGCTCTAAGCATCCAGTCCTTTCGACCACATTCAGGGAAGAGGACGGATGGGGGAACCCATATCCGCTGGTATCCATGGTGGCCCCAGAGGCTCTCCGAGTTCAGTACCAGAAGAAGAACACTGTCCACCCTCAAGCCATCCTTTAATATAGCATGGCCCAATGTAGCATCCGTTCTCATCTTGTGGCTCACTATAACTGCAAGAATTTTTTTTTAATGTTGAATGGAGCCCCAGCCTGTAATAATATCCTCCCAAATGGATACCTGACATCTTTCCCCTCTACAGAACCTACACCAAGAGAACCAGACAGGATTTGCTGATGGCAGGAATGAGAAAGCCTTTCTACACCCAAGTCCATGGGCTAGTTAATCCAGCTGCCAGGCTAGACAATTCTGGTTAATGGATGGCTGTTCTTTAACGCTGCTGGGGAGACATGCCCCTCCTTAATCTGCTGCAGTGTCATTAGGAGAGAAAATGTTTGCTCCGGGAGCTCCCGCGGCCTTTGGAAACTGCAAGATCAACACTAATAGCAGGGCAACTCTGGCCTTAACCCTCCCCTGCCCAGCCCAGGCCCAGACCTCGGGGAGATGGCTCTGTGGAGCACTGTGGCACTCTCTGGCTCATTGGTCTAGACTGCCAGAAATCTAGGTCCTGTTTCTAGGCTTCTCCTGGCCTGAGAGCTAGTGAGTATGAAGACAGAGGGATGGTAGGAGAGAAGAATCTAGGGTTCTGGGTCCAGATGCATCCCATCCCCACCCCCTGAGCAGGTTAACGAACAGAGCTGGAGCTGGCAAAGCTGAACAACTCCCTTAACCTTTGTCCAGGGTTCCTTCCAGGCAGGGGAGGATGGCCAACTGGCCTTTAAGATCCATGCTTCTCACCAAGTAGAGCCAAGTGTCTACCCTGGGAGGGGTGATATGTCCTTAGCCTGATGTCCCCACACCAAAGCCTGCTCCTTATTGAAACTTGTGTCACCAGAGGGGCAGAAGGGAACAGGGAGCCTGTTTGAGCTGAAGGGGGTGGAGGCTACCGATTACCCAGGCCTCTGGGTGCCAGGTGATGAGCCAGCCCCTCAGCTACAGCAGGGCTTTGTGTCACCAACACTACAGAGGTTCCAAAAGCATTAGACTTGCCCCATTACAAACCCCAAAGTCTAAGCTACAACACAGCAGAGTGCGGAGGGGGCGTGGTCTCACAGCTGCCCCTCCCACCAATGCTCTCTCTCCTCCTGCCCTTCTCTTTTCTACACAAACCTGACAGCCAAGGCCAGCATCCCTCAGGAAGCCCCCCCACCCCAAGGTGCTATCGATGCAGAAAAACACAGCTCTCACATTAAAGGAAACAAAAGATAGTTTATTCTGGAGTCCTTTTGAGTGACCATGGCCCAGGAACACAGATCTGAGTTATTCCAAATTCTGTGCTCCAATGTGGAAGCAGTTTGGTGAAGTTTTATAGACCAGAGAAAGTCATAACTCAAGGCGAGTTTGGAATTCAGTGGTGGATACAGAGAGACAGGTACAGCAAGATGAGGAAGCTTGTCTGTAAGCCTCAGATGTGATCTGATGACAGATACAGCTTTTGGGTTGGTGGAAGTTAGGGGTCTGATTTCTCTGGGTAGCCCTGGCTGTCCTGGAACTCACTCTGTAGACCAGGCTGGCCTTGAACTCAGAGATCTGCCTGCCTCTGCCTCCAGAGTGCTGGGATTAAAGGTGTGTGTCACCACCGCATTGCAATTCTGAAAGTTTTTATCTGTTAGTCATGGGATGCTAGTCTTGACACAGAGGTGGGCGAGGAATGTCAGTTCCAGGGGTTAATGCTAACCCACAATAATGTAATTAGCCTCAGGACCCGTAACATCCTACGTCACCACAGAACGGCAGTTCTGATCAGACTCTGCACACACAGCTTCTCTCCTGGAGTTCTCGTTCACAGTGTCGCAGCTGCTCTCTTTCCCACACAAGGCAGGTGTGGGAAACCACCGTGCCAAACCACGGGCACACTGCAGTGTGCCGAACTTCTCCTGGAGAGACACAACACAACACACACACACACACACACACACACACACACACGCACGCACGCATGCATGCATGCATTCACCCCAACTTCGTGAACCAACAGAGGTTTGATTGGGTTTACTAACAGGAGGGTGGGGTGAAGGGTTACTCTCAGAGGAGCAGGAAGGGCTCAAAGACAGCTGCCTCACCGAAGCTCACCCCGCACACCAGTGGCGACTCACAAAGCTTCAACCCTGGAGGGAGGCCCCTGTTCAGCCTGCAGGCAACACAGTTGTTCCCAGCCTTCTCTCTGCAGTTGGTCTGCCAGAGCGTCTCCTCCCCAGAGGCTCTTCACTCCTTTGCATAAATCTGGGCAGGGAGCCTTGAGAGTCTTCAAAGTTTCTTTGCATGTGACCTTTATTCACCCCCTAAGTCTCAGGAGCCTCCACTCCCCCCACCCCTCAACCAGGATTAACGTTTGGAGGAAACTGCCATATGATTTGCAGGCAGGATAACATCTCACAATTGCACAAGGCTAAGGCACATCTGGGCACAGACCTGGAGCCAGGATGCCAGCCCCTTGGGATGCCTGTGGGAGGGGAGCGCCAACACCCACGGGAACCTGCAGGTGTGTTCCTGTGGCTTAGAACCCCTGGCCCCAGGCAGGTTCCGATTCCGTGTGGCAGGAAAGTAAATCTGCTGGGGAGGAGGAGGAGGAAGCTGTACCGGGCCAGGGTGGCTGGGATTCAAAACCAGGCCAGCCTCCACAACAACTTCCTCACGACTTCTCTGCCCAGAGTTCAAGACCCTGTGCTGGAACCAGGATAGGCCTCTAACCTAGAGCCTTCCTGGAATGTGCAGAGCTGGGCCTGGACAGGAAGTGGCCTACCAGGCCTTCTGTCACCCACGGAGGCAGACTGGTCTCTTGGCTCTTAGCCCTACCTGAAGGTCGTGTCTTTATGTAGGGACTCAAGGCCCCACCCAACCTCTGGTCACCTGGTTCTGAAGGTGACCTGAGGTCCCAGCCCCAGATGGACAAACTCCAGGTGTACTAAAGCACCCTTGCCTCCTGGCTCCAGACACTCCTCCTCTTGCAACCTGGGCCAGGTCCTCACCAGCCTTGTTCTCAGAGGAAAGTTAAAGACCAGATGGTGGATGCAGGGCTCAGACCATGCAGACAGAGGCCTTGCCCAGGGTGCCGCTGGAGGATAGGCCACCCCTGGAAGCTGGTGGTGACGCTGTCAGTGTGAAAGGTGCTACGTGCACAGGTGGTCGGATGGCAAAACATCTGTTGCCTGGCCTGCCCTCAACTCTGGGCCTGGACAGGGCTGCCAGAGTTCTGTCTGCCTTCAGAAGGTCCATCCCTCTCTTCCTGGTCACCCTCCCAACTTCCTCTTCAGTGAGTAGCCTCCGTGTAAAAGAAGTAGGGAGGCTGGCAGAGGAGAGCAGCAGACTCTAGGCTGTGACAGATGGAAGGATCTTCAGGATGGACTTGAGCAGCCGCTGTCACAGGTAGGGAAACTGAGGCACACAGGGCCACACTGCCTCTTAATGGAAGAGCTGAAACCACTCCCATGGCAACCCTGTGGGGGGATGTGTGTGTGTGTGTGTGTGCGTGTAGAGCATGCAGATGCTGTGCATATATAGACATGTGTATGCATGGATATTTGTGCATGCCAATGTGCAGGGGCATTGGCATGGGGAGGGCTCACACATGTGTGCAGACTGGAATATGTGTGTGCATGCATGCTGGGATGTGTCCATGACTGTTCCATGTTGAGCCCTGGCAAATGAAGCCAGTCAGGCGACTCCCTCAAGACAGCTGGTGAGGCTGTGGGAAGAGAGGAAGGGGGCAAAGCATGAAGTTTATCTTCCTTTATTTAGTTTGTAGATTATGGAAGGAAATTAAATTTGAGATGTTTGCAGGGAGGTAATTTTCCCAATCACTCACCCTGATCACAGGTCCCACAGCCTGACTGCTTCTAATTGCATTAATCGGATGGTGGCATGAGGGAGCAGGGGGCTTTCTTTGTTCTGGGAAGATCAGGCACTGAGAGGTGAGGGCAGCTGAGGCCTGGGGATCCTCCCAAGGAAGCTCCAGGCCGGGGTCAGGAAGGAGGATAGCGCCTGTCCCAAGTTTGATAGCCTGTGTCTCTGCTCGGGGCAGCCAAGAGAGGGTGTTTCTATGTGGAGAGGAGAAAGGAGAAGGATAAGCTCCAGGTCAACTCTCGGGGCTGCTGGGGTCAAGGGAAGGGTGCCCCACGGGAATAGCGACAGTTGGAGAAAGGTTGAGTCTAGAGATTGGCGTCTTGGTGGCCTGACTTTCAGCTGGAGAGCCCAGCGGTTACCACCTTGCTCCACAGCCCTGTGCCATCCCTCCTTCCCCAGAGGCCTGTTACAGAACCTGTTGTCCCAGACACCGGCTTCTTCCTGAGCCTAGCTGTCAATCTATGTGGCTTTCCAGGCCCAAATGTGTCCGCCCTGACAAGGAATGAGTCAAGAAAAATTAGGCTGGGAGTTAGCGATTGCCTCAGTTGGTACTTACCCAGCATGCACACACCCAGGGTTAGACCCCCAGCGCCACATAGAACCTGGAATAGGGAGTGGTTCAGTCATTCTCCGCGACAGAGGGAGTTAAAGGCCAGCCTGGGCTACATGGGACACTGTTACAAAGAAAGAAAAAGAGACAGAGGGAAAGGAAGGAGAGGAGGGGGGATGGAGGGAAGAAGGGGGCAGGGAGGGAGGGAAGGAGAGGTATTAGTATGTGTTAATAGTGCAAGAGGAAATGCTGTTGGAAACACACACACACACAACATGGCTGACTCCTGTCCGCTTACTTTAGTGCTCAGCTTTCATGGCCCCCCTCCCAGGGGACAACCACTCTAATTTACTGATCAAGATCAGTGCCTCTCATCTCTCCCCTCCATTTATAGCTTTTAAGATAATAGCAAACATTTATTGGGCACTTACTGTATACTAGACACGCTTTGTAAGGATCCCAATCTATTAATAAACAATTAGTTCTTGGCAGTTATCTAGGATCTCAATTTAATAGACAGGAACTAAGGGCATAGAAAGTTATTTCACTCACTACAGGCCTGCAGCCAGCTGTGACTGAGAGATGATCCCAGCCCCACGGCTCTGCCTGCACCCTACCAGGCTCCCACGATGGTCACACTGCTTACCTGAGCTTCCATGGGTCATCGATTTGCTGCGCCGCTGAATGTCCGCCTCTCCCATCGGACTGTGAATCCTACAGAGGGAGGACCCTGTGTGTCTTCCGTGGTGGCTTCCCTGGCACCCAGTGCCATATATAACAAAAACAAGTGCCTGGGATCCTCACCTTTCAGGGGAGTCTGCCAAACACCCCCAGGCCCTCAGACACCACCCCCTTTCCAGCTCACTCCCTCTTTCCTTCCCGACCACCCCCTTCTTCCTGTCCTCCCCCACCCTCTCTGCCCCTTTCCTGACACCCTTCTCCTGGACCCCTGACCCACTGGCACTCTCCTCTCCATTGCCTCCACTCCCTGCTAATTAAATGGTCCTGTACATAGTTCCATTTGCATCTGCTCAGAGGCCTCGGCGCCTTGGGCTGCATGTTCATTAAGCGGCTCTGTGTAGAGGGGTGTAATGAACCGATTTCATTACAGCTGTCAGGTTTGTCCAGCCTGGGGCCGATTATGCATTCACTGAGAAGAGAGTGCCTCATTCCTCTGCTCTTTCTGCTTGGAGTCTGGGGCAAGTGAGGCTGGCTCTGACTTAGGGAAGTTCTGCCAGCTTGTCATAGCTCTGTTTGGGGTGCAGGAAGGGATGTCAGGCTGGGTACAGCTGGCCCCAGCCTACAGCTGTGAATGTCAGAAATCCCAGGCGCTGGGCCAGGATCCCATAGTTCAAGGAATGATTTTTTCCTGGGGTTCCACATTTATCCTGGTATGGATCACCATCTGCAGAAGGGAGAACTGACCTACCACAGAAGGACTACGCTTTGCCCTGTGCCAGGGTCAGAGAACTGGAGTGTGAGTTCAGCTCTGCCCATCAGAACACCTCCACAGGCCCCAGACCCAACAGAGGTGTTATGCCTGGTGGAGGACCTACCCTAAGAGAGCTAACACTTGTCTCTCTCTCCTCACCCTCTCTGGATCCAGAGATTCCCACAGAAGCACAGAGAATGCTTTGAAGAGGAAGACCTTAGAGCAAGATCTACATACCAGGATCTTCTTCCTGCATTGTTCCTCAGCGGTCCATCCCGCCCCCAACTCAGCCATTCAACAACATTGTAAATTATGGTAAGGATCACCTGAGACACTGGCTTCCGGCCAGAGATGAGTAAAATGAAATTCAGTTCAGGCCTACTCCCCTTCAGCCTCATGTCTGACGGTGTGGAAAAAAGACTGGAAGCAGGATCTTCCAGTCTTGGAAAGTTCCTGGGAGAGAGGATGGGAAAAAATTGTCTGGATGGAGATGTGGGTGTCCTCAAAGATTTGTGTCTGCGGGTGTGTTTGCCATGGATATGAATGCACACGTGCAGTGTGTGTGTGTGTGTGTGTGTGTGTGTGTGCGCGCGTGCGTGCGCACACACATAGAGGCCCCTGCTAGTGGTATATGCAATCACAGCAAGAGAGACAGGTGGAGGTGATGAAAGGGCAACACCTTGCCAGGACTGGGAAATAGGAAATGGGGTCAGCAACAGATGCCAGGGCAAGGGGGTTGGACTTTATTATTTTACAGTTGGCAATAGGGAGGTAGGAAAGAGCGGAATGTGGAGAGGAATGGTCCTAGAGGAACGGTCAACAACACAGAAGCCCCCTTAGCCCTGAAGGAGACTAATGCCATCAATCCCAAACTCTTCACTTCAGTCCCAGGTGGATTTTATTTGGACAAGGTCAGAAAGCAGCTACATTCTTCACCAAAATATCACAAGAATGGTCTCTAGGCCAAAAATTTCTGGAGTTGGCTCCCTCCAGTTCAACTCACCCTCAGCACTTCTTCCCATGCTCCTGCTGGTATAGCACATTAAGCCTCATTTAATTGTTTAACTGGTTTTCTACCCCCCAAAATCCCAAAGTCTGCATCCCACCAACAGGAAGTATGGTCAGGACTGTCACAGTAATACCCCACTCCCTGGTGCCAACTTCCGTCTTGGTCACATTCTATTGCTGTGAAAAGACACCACGGCTGAGCCAATTCTTATAAAAGAAAGCATTTAATTGGGGCTTACTTACCCTTTCAAAAAGTGTAGTCTTTTATCATCATGGTGGGAATCGTGACAGGACAGACAGACATGGTGCTAGAGAGGTAGCTGAGAGTTCTACATCTGGATTCACAGGCAGCAGGAACAGGGAGATACTGGGATTTTGAAACACGGGTGTTTGAAACCTCAAAATGTACTCTCAGTGACACACTTCCTCCAACAAGCCCACACCTACTCCAACAAGGGCCTACCTCCCAATCCTCCCAAATAGTGCTTTCTTATTCAAACCACCGCAGCTGGCAAAGAGCTAGCTTTGCATGAAGATCTGAGTTTGGATCCCCAAAGTCCATGTAAAAACCTGGCCCAGTGGTGCATACCTGGAATCCTAGTGTAGGATACACAGACAGGAGCATCAGGCTCACAGGCAGCCAGACTAGCTGAACTGCTGAGCACGGGGTTCGGTGAAAACTGCTTTCTCAAAAAGTGAGGTTGAGAGCAACTGAAGACAGTTGATATTGATTCCTGGACTTCATACACACACTGCCACACATGTACATACATGCACAGAGATGTTCACATACATATGAACACATGCACAAATATATATACATATATATACATATATATACATATATGTATATATGAGAGAGACAGAGAGAGAGAGAGAGGTGTAAATCACTGGTCTTGGTAATGGCAGGAACATGCAGTTACAACAGAATGGCACAATTATGCATCAGGTTCTTGCCCTGGAGACTGCCACACATCACACTTCCCAAAGACCGAAGGCTCATCATCTCACTGGGAGCCCACTTCCTACAAGCCTTTCCATAGTAGAGAGTTCAAAGGGAAAATAAAAGTAGGTTTGGGAGAAGTATTGATAGATAGATGATTCTTGGTGTTCAGCCCCAAAGAAAGACCCCAGGCAGATCTGAGGGTCAGACTCTGGAGACCAGAGTTCCGGGTAGCCAGCACCTGAAAGCAAAGTAGCAGAATAAGAATGTAAAGTCTTCAGTATCCTGAGAGTAACCATGACAACAGATGCACACTCGTCCCACAGCTGAATGTACTTCCCAACTAAGGATCTCGCTGAAGAAAAGGTGTGCAAATCTTCCTAAGCATAAAACCAAAATTTACCTCAGCATCTCATGTCTTATGAAAAATGTCTAGCTTTCAAATAAAAGTCATAAGGTAAAAGCAAGGAAAAAAAAACACAGAGAAAAGAACTGAAAACTAAACCCAGAGACAGGCTAGACTATGGGACTATCTATCTGATGGGAAACTTTAAATCGTGGTGATGAAAAAGGAATTAGGGGACCCTAGTTGAGGTTCCAGCACCCACATCAGGTGGCTCACAACCACCTGTGACCCCAGATTCAGGGATATGACGCCCTCTTCTGGCCTCCTCTGGTACCTGCACTAGTGTGCACATGACTACAAACAAAGGCACATAGTTAAAAATGAAAGCGTGATGTGTGGGACTATTTTGCTATTCACCAAGTCACCTATTGTTTGAAGATAAATTCAAACTGCTGAAAAACAAACTCAGAAGATCCTAAAGAAATTCACAGAAATGAAACATATTCCAAGAAACAGAAATAAGAATGACAGTAGACTTTCTGCCAGAAAGCATGACAGCAATAAGACAATGGTATAGTGCGTTATAGGTTCTGTGGAGAGAAAGAAATGTGTCAAGCCCAGATTACAGACTCAACTGAGAATATCCTTGGATAATGAGGGAATAAATAGGTATTTTCTCAGACCATAAACAAAACAAAACCACCAAAACCATGTGCTGGCTGCTTTTATGCCAACTTGACCACAAGCTAGAGTCACTGAAAAAGAAGGATTCTCACTTGAAAAAATGAGAAAATTATGGAGAAAATGTCTCTAGATGGTAGGATCGTAGCAGATCTATAGGCATTTTCTCAATTAGTGATTAATGGGAAGGGTTCAGCCCATTATGGGTGACCCCAAAGCAGGTGGTCCTGGATTCTATAAGAAAGCAAGATGAGCAATCCATGATGGACAAGTCAGTAAGCAGCACCCCTCCATGGCCTCTGCATCAGCTCCTGCCTCCAGGGTCCTGCCCTACTTGAGTTCCTGTTCTGATTTCTTTCAGTGATGGAGTACAATATGGAAGGGTAAGCCCAATAAACTCTTTCCTCCCAACTTACTTTTGGACATGGTGTTTCATCACATCAGCAGTAACCCTGACTAAAACAAAGTATCAAAGGATGGGGCTAGTGGGATGGCTTAGGAGGTAAAGTTGCTTGTCACTCAAGTCTGACAACCTGAGATCCATCCCAGGAACCTGTGTAAAGGTGGATGAAAAGAAACAACTCTACAATGTTGTCCTGACCTTCAAGCGTGCATGTGGGTGCACATGTGTGCGCGCGCGTGCACACACACACACACACACACACACACACACACACACACACACGAGGTTTAAAAGGAACCTCTTCAGGCAAGATAAATCACCAGTAAAGACTTACGGCTACACAAAGGAACAGAATCCTCAAAACGAAATAAATAAAGATAAAATCACAGGAATTGTCTTTGCTAAATTTTAGTTGCACTAAAGCATAAATGGCTGCTTAAGAAAAATAACAATACTATATTATATGGTTTCAGTATGTTTGAAATTGAGACAGATAACAAAAATAGCACAAAGGCTAAAGGGTCAGAAAGAGACGTACGCCACTGTGGGGCTGTTACACTAGTCTTGAGTGGCATGGTATTATTTGAGGGTATACTCAGATTAATTTAAATGTATATTATAAACACCGTGGCAAACACTAAGTGTTCTTACAAGAGATAGAGAAGAAATAAAACTGAATCGTGAAGATGTTGTTAGCTCAGGAAAAAAGAAAAATGAAGAAAAAAAACAGCAAGAAGTGAAAAGGTTTAGGAGTGGCATATCAAGACAGCTAAGTCATCACCATAAGTGTAAGTAGACCAATGGATTTTCCAGACTGAATATAAAATCAAGACTCAACTATACCCCACCTGTAACAGACGGTTAGAAGATACCAAAGAGTCAAAAGTTAAAGGCAAAGAAATCTACCTGAAGTCGCTAAAAGCTAGACATCAGACAAAACAAAATTGAGAACAAGAAATAACCTTTACCAGGTAGATTATGTGAGTGAGAGTAATTGTCCAGAATGTACAACAATCTAAAGTGTGCGTGTACCCAACAACAGGGCTTCAGAACAAATGGGAAAGATCTGAAAGGAACAATAGGAAAATTTACAGCTATATCTGTGTCTTGATTATTGTTCCATTACTATGAAGAGACACAATGACCAAGGTAGCTCTTGTATAGCATTCAATGGGGAGCTTGCCTACGTTTCACAGTTAGTTCATAACCATCTTAGCAGGGAGCATGGTGACAGGCAGACATGGGGCAAGGGTTTACAGCCTGACCCAACAGAGGCAGGTAGAGAGACAGACTGGGGCCTGGCATGGGCTTTAGAAACCTCAAAGCCCACCCCCAATGTCACACCCCCTCCAACAAGGCCACACCTCCAAATCCTTCCTAAACAATTCTACCAGCAGGGGGGACCAGGCACTCAAACATATGAGCCTATGGGCCTGTATTCTGTACCATTAATAAAGATTTAGGGCTGTGGAGATGGACCATCAGATAAAGTGTCTCCTGCACATGACTGAGCATCTGAGTTCAGATCCCCAGGATCCACATTCAAGCTGATCCCTAAATGCACAAACTATGTCATCCAAATTATATCTCAAAGAACGGGGTGTGAATGTATGGAAGTGCCCAGTGCTGTTTCCACAACTTTATCCCCATCTCATCTGAATGCTAAAGTCCTGGTCCTGGGACTGTGCTTCTGGGATGTGGTGGGACCTTTAAGAAGGGGACATAATGGGAAGTTCTTCAGTCACCTGGCCATGCCCACAAAAGGGTCCTTTTTCCGTTTTCTCTCTTGCTTTCTAGCCATGAGGCAAGAAGTCCAGTCTGCTACTTGTTCTCCGTATTTGTCCCTCAGCACCCCCACCATCCAGCACCCCTACTAGAAACTTAAAAGTAACAATCCTACCCATTTGCGAGACCTTTAGCCTCTAAAACCATGAGACAAACGTACTGTTTTTATAAGCTAATTCTCTTTAAATTATTTAATTTGTTATAGCGTTCAAACACTAGCACAGCACTCTAGTATTAAACATTTATTTTCTAGAAATAGATAAAATGTCGACGGTAAAAATAATGAACCATGGATACTACACAGGACAGATGAACTGCATAATAACTAGGTGTATTGAAGAACACAGACAAAAAGAGGACATTGGATGTGATTTCTTGTATATACAATTCTGTGTCATCTACAGTAGCACCAGAAAGATGTGTGGCTTCCTGGATGGGTGGGAGGCAGTGTGAGGGATGGGTCATCAAGAGGCAGCAGAGAATGATTATATCCAATATCTTCACAGTGGTAATGGTGTGGCTGAAACCAGATCTGCCAACAATTAACAGACTTAACCCACTGTGTGCTTTTTACATGTGCAGTAAACTGCACATGAGTCACATTTCAATTAAAAAAATGCTCTTTCGAATGCACAACCTGTGTGCTTGAAATGAGAGTGGTTTGTTATGTCATCTCTCTATAACCTATAGATCAGTGAGATGGCTCAACTTCATTGTCTGCTTGGCTGGGTTTGAAATCACCTGGGAGACACACCTCTGGGCGTGTCTTGGAGGAAGCTCCCAGAGAGACAGATCTGGAGTGGGAAGACCTACACTGACCCTGGGCTGGGGTTCTTGACAGAGTAAGTGGAGAAAGCGAGGGGGACACCAGCTCTCCTCTCCTGCTGCTCTGTGACTGTGGACACAGTGTGACTCACTGCCTCACAGTCCTGTAGTCTCACCTTCCCTTCCATGGTAGCCTCTATCCCCTCTAATCCTAAGACAAAGTTAAACCCCCCAACACCCTTAAGTTGATCCCCATCCTGTGTTTTGTCACAGCAATGCAAACCCGTGACTACCAGTAAAGACCTGTTGAACAGTTTCTGCTTTCAGTCAATAAACACCCCCGTCCCCAACCAGAGAATTATGTGTGGCCTCCAGTCACCTCCTGAGGTGTTCTGTCTGGTTTTGTGGAGACCTGTGCCCCTGTTAACTCCATGGTAAACATTTTGCTGCTTTCTTGCTGGTAGGAGGGGCCAACCAGACACATCCTATTCTCTACCTTCAAGGACTATCTCTGTGTGCCTTATATCCCCAGAATCCTAGAAATTCCAACGAGGTAGAGAGTGCTGGAATTTTGAGTTGATTTCTTTTTCCACAGTCTAGTATGCTTATTCTTTGTCAACAAACCTAGAGTCATTGCGACCTTCTGCTGCGTTGGCCCAATCAGCATGGTGTCATCAATAGGATGGGCTAATATGACAACCTTTTGGAAGAAGCACATGATCCAGAGTGTCACTCGGCACTAGAGGATTGGCAAACCCGTGAGGTGGGACAGTGAAGGGATACTTCTGGCCTTGCCACCTGCAAGCAGACCATTTCTAGAGTGTTTGGGTAGGAGAGAGGGAATGCTACTTTCCAGGTCAATGGCCTTATACCAGGTACCAGGAGGTGTGTTAATCTACCCAAGCAAGGAAACCACATCTGACAGAGCAGCTGCAACTGGTACTACCCCTTCATTAAATGTACAATTACCAACACTCATTCTCCAACATCCATCTGTCTTCTGCGTGGGTCAAATTAAGGTATTAAGTGGGGATATGATGGGATCTGTCAGGTCTTTTTATGGTGGTGCTCATCTTTAAAGGCTCTGCATGGATTTTAGGACTTTCCCAGGAAGAGGCAACTCTCAGGCTTCCATGTTGACCTTCTCACAATCACAGCCCTCAGGTCAAGGAACTATCCTGATGACCGCCAAGTTTACATCTATCTCAGTTATGTGTTCTGAACCAGAGAAGTAACCACTGCGTGAGCTCAGTGATCCATATGCCTTACTATAAGTTGGATCTGATCTGAAATTCAGCTCCACAATCTGTGCTCTGAATAGAGTGAAAGGAGTTATTTGGGATCTCCCCAATTCAACGTTAGTACAAAGCCAACATCCAGAACTTTCCAAATGTTCTGCTTCTTCCTTTTCTTCAGTGTGCAGTTGCCCTTGTAAACGGGCTCTAGTTCCTTTAAGGGCAGGAAGGGAGAAAGATTAACTGTAGAACTTTGTGATGTCATACCAGGGGTTCTTCCTTAAGGAGACATTGCTCCCCTGTGATTCATGGGCCCCATAAACTGGCTCAAGCCTAGGAATAAGTTGAGAAGCTATGAGAAGCTTGTGATTCAAGGTGCAGATGAGTGCTAGCACTTGGTTCTGCCCACTCGAGGGTCCAATGATCACTTGAGTAACAGCTCCAGCTGTAAGGACAGGCCTAGGGAGGAGAGCAATGGCAGAGGTCCACCAGGGCACAGCCCCTCCCAAGTCTGCCTCAAGTACTGGTTACAACATATGTCCTGGTTTCCTTCCCTGTTGCTGTGACAATTTACCCTGACAAAAGAAACTCGAGAGAAAAGGGGTTTATTTCAGCTCACAGTTCAAGGGTAGAGTCGGTCATGGCAGAGACATTGAGGCAGCAGGAGGTTGAAGAAGCTGGTCATGCTACACCAGTCACTGGGAAGCAGAGAGGGAAGGTTGCATCCTGCTGCTCAGCTCCGTTTCTACATTTATACTGTCCAGGATCCCAGCCAGGGAATGGTGCCACCCACGGTGGGCAGGTCTGTCCTCTTCAATTTACAAAGTTAAGGTAATCCCCCAAAGGATTACCTTAGATGTGCTCAGAGGCACATCTTCTGGGAGATTCTGGAGTCTGTAATTTTGATAATTAACATTGACCAGCACAGCACATCTGAATCCTGGTGTGCAGAGTAAGTCTTACTGGGTGAATCCTACTCCAGCGTTTAGCACTCCCAGGCTTCTGATCCCCTCTGCCAACAGTAAACCTTGGCCTTTAGCAAATCAGGCATTTCTAGCTCGGTCACAGGGAACTATCTCACATCTCAATCCAACTAGCCAAATTAATGATTATCTGTCTTATTTATTATTTAATTATCAGTTAATAATTATTATTTAATTATTACCTGTCTTAGTTACTTTTCTATTGTTGTGACAAAACACCATGACCAAGACAACTTAAGAAAGTATGTAAGTTAGGGGCTCCCAGTTCCAGAGGGTTAAACCACTGTGGCAGCGAGTATGAAAGCAGGTAGGTAAGCATGGCCTGAAGCAATAGCTGAGAACTTACATTTGATCCAAAAGCAGAGAGAGAGAGAGGGAGAGAGAGACAGACAGAGAGGGGGGAGAGAGAGAGAGAGAGCTTGGAATGGTGTGGACTTTTGAAACCTTAAAGCCCACCCTCAGTGACACAGCTCCAACAAAGCCACACCTCCTAATCTTTCCCAAACGATTCCAACAACTATAGGCTAAGCATTCAAATATGTGAGTCTCTGGGGGCCATTCTCATTCACACCACCACAGTACCATCTTTAATTCCTCGAGCTGCAACATTAAACTCTGAATCTCTGCTTACTGGGTCCATATCAATAAATTCAGCCTCGTCCAACTGTGTGCTTCTTCCACCATAGTTGTCTGACCTTACAAGTCCTGTCCAGACCTCCTCTGTTCATGTAAAACCCGAGTTCTCTAGACTGTAGCATACCTCCTTTGCATCCCAGCATGTCCCTCCCCTCTTAGATTCTGGCTGCAACTCCAGATGCAAAGATACAGTAAGGAGTGGGCCCATCAGCATTGTCTTTGTGGGAACTGGACTGGTGAAGGTCAGCACAACAGGGTGGTGATGCTGTTGAGGGTGGGGATACCATGTCCCTGACAGAACAGACCTATCAGAATTTAGGAACACAGTGTCCACAGCCTCCTGTGGGTTTTCATCTCAACTTAAGGGATCCTGCGCTCTTCCCATCAGTGCCCCCACTTTAACCGCAGCAGCCTGCGATGCTAAAGCTTAACTGGCACTGTAAGGCAGCAAGGGCAAGCGAGGGCTGGTGTCTGGTGTTCAGCAGCCTCGGCCCTGTGGCTGCAGGAGGGGTGAGTCTCCTTCAGGGCACACTGCCAAGTCCTTAGGTTGTTTATACATGTGGGGCTGGGAAATGGACTCCCTGAGCTCATTCTTTCTCTTTATTACTTGGTCCAGCAATGCTAGGAACAGCAGCCAGAGTCATTATATCCCTTAGTTTTTCAAAATTGTTCAAAGCGTCATGCACACCGTCGGTAATTCCTCACTTCTCGCAAGTGGTGAGCCAGGGCCACAAAGGCATTGTAACATCCAGGATGAGGGATGGGAGCCACCTGGGGTGGGGGCTGTAAAGCAGTTAAGAAACGTGCATGAGCTAGAGCAGGGGGTATGGCTCAGTCGATAGAGTGCTTGCACACATGAGACCCCGGATTCCACCCCCAGCCCCGGGTAAGCCAGGTATAGTGGTGCACACCTGTAGTCCCAGGACTTGGGAGGTGGAGGCAGGAGGATCAGAAGTTCAAGGTCATTCTCAGCAATACAGTGTTCTAGGCCAGTGTGGACTGTGTGGGGCAGTGGGGTGTGGTGAGTGCGAGTCTCCACAGTTTCCACGGTGTCTCTGCCTCCCTGCTGCAGGACCCTGGACAGCAATCCCCAGACCCTGCAGGTGGCGGGGGGGGGGGGGGGCAGGGAATAGTAGCAACTTCTCACAGAGACTGGAGGTGGAATTCTAGGCATCCTTGCAGCTTGGCGGCTGGTCCACGTCATGGTACAGAAGATGTACTATGTCAGAGGCAGTTGTGTCCCCCAGACAGTGGTGGAGGCCTGGAACCACAGGAAGAGTAGTTTCTTTTTTTATTTTTTTATTTTATTAATACAGTTTATTCACTTTGTATCCCCCATGTACCTCCCTCCCTCCTCCCCTCCCAATCCCATCCTCCCTCTTCCCCACCCGTGTCCCTCTCCCAGTCCACTGAAAAGGGAGGTCCTCCTCCCCT